AAAAAAAAAAAAAAAAAAAAGACTGTAAAGAAGAAACTGGCTCCAGGGACCCACTGAGCCTGACAGGAGGGGGCGTGGCCTCACAGAGAAGGAAAGCTGGGGAAGTTAACTGGATGTGGCAGTGGCAACCGGGACTCTTAACTGGTGGGAGTTTAAGAGGTGGGACCAGATCTTGGAATAAGCAGAAACCTTGACAAATGGGCCAGAGGCTGGGCTGGGTGCAGCGTCAGGGTGAGTACTGGTCGGTTTGGAGAGAGAAGACGCACCTTATCCATGTTAACAAGTGCAGTGAGCAAGTCTTGCTGTTGAGACATCTTGCGGATGTCCAAGGAGGACCCACTCTCGAGCGACACGCTCATGGACACGTGTTTGTGCAGCCTCTCCTCCTCCTGCTCCTGGTTGAAGCGGATGGAGCGCACCTCCTCCACGATCCTGAGGGCCAAGAGGTGAATGTCTCAGAGTGAGGGGGCACCTTTGGGAGAGGGAGGCAGCCCTCCCACCTCTTCCCTGGTGTCCATCCCCCTCCACCCACTCCCTCATCCCTAACAGAGGCCCAGGATGAGGTATGCTCTTTGAGAGATGGGAGGAATTTGGAAGTCTGGATTCCTCTCCTCCACCAATAGGCTGGGGACCCTTGGCGAGTCACTTAACCTCTCTTGGTCCCAGGTGAGGGCATGAGACTAGATGAAGAATCTGAGGCACCGCCCATCCCTGACTCATGGGACTCCGGGGTACCCCCAGTTGCTCCCCTACGTGTTGAGCTCATCTCGGATCTCCTTGTATTGCACCAAGTTCTCCTGTATTGCCTCAAGCACCAAGCAAAAGTTGTCGCATGTGTTTTCAGAGAGGTTTGACAGGAAACCCCCCATAAGTGGTTCCTGGGGAACTTCAGCTTTCTCCGAGCGGGCAACTAGACAGTGCACCAGTGGCAGGTCGGTTTCTGTCTCCTTCTCTTCCTCTGAATCCATCTGAGGAGGCAGGAATAGAGATGGGATGGACAGCTCAGGCTGAAATGAGCCCCCATCTTTCCTGCCTGGCTTCAAGGAGAATGCATCTCTTAGGATGGAAAGTTCTAATGCCCCTGATTTTAGCTCTAACCAATCTTAGCCTCCCCACGTTGCTATGGGAAATCAACTTCAAATGCATAATCCCTTCCTCCACCTTTTTGGAAATTCTTAACCTTTTCAAAACTTAACCCTTTCCCCAGATTTCACCCCTGATAAATCCTACCCAGCAAGCTTCTAAAGCCCTACCTATTTTCAAGCCTGGGTCCCAGCCTTCCACCCTTTTGGAAGTTTTCCACTCCCTTCTCTAACCTTATGAAAGCGTTATGAAGGAATAATACTAACATTTATTGAGTGCTCACTATGTGCCGAGCACTGTACATTTACCCATATAATCCTCATAATAGCCCTATGAGGTAGGTATAATTGTTATTCTCATTCTACAGAAGAGAAAAATTGAAGCTTAGATTGGTTAATTGCTCTAAGGTCACCCAGCTGCTCACCCAGTTTTGAGTTGCCATAGAAACATATCGAGGAAACTGACACCCCTCAAAAGCTCCAGCTGGTAAGTGAGCACTCAAGATGAGACACTACTATCTCCGGGCCCTTGAGTGTGCAAGCACACACACACCACACATCCCCCTTCTGCCTTCTGCCCTTCCCATCCCACACATACCTCATTAAACTTTATTTGATTCTGTCGCTCCTCCTTTCCTGCCTTCATCATTTGCTCAAGATTGGTGGTCACCACAACGACAAATAGGTTGATGCCAATGAAGGCACCGATGGTGATGAAGATGGCAAAGTAGATGGCACCCCCAACCTGCATTGCGTACTCCCTTTTGTCCGTCCTGGAGATGGTAGGCAAGGATCCCATAACCTCCCTGGCTCTTTGAGCCTGAGTTTCCTCATCTATGAAATAGGGACTCATCCCAAAGCCTATTGGGACTTCTGCCTGTGTCCCTGCTGAGGTGCAGATCTACTCCTGTCTCAGTAGCTGCTCTCTGCTGATCACCTGCTGGGCTACCAGACATGGGCTGATTTTCAAGCCAACCCTGCTGAAGGTGAGGATTTAGACTCAGCATTATTAAAGGTAATCTATTAGCTGTACTCTTTATTCACTATACACTTTATTCAGCTATAAAAAATAATTCAAGCTCATTTTAGAAAAATGAGAAGAAAAATATCTGGGGTCGGCAGCTGTGGCTCAGTGGGTAGGGCGCTGTCCCCATATACCGAGGGTGGTGGGTTCGAATTCACCCCTGGCCAAACTGCAACAACAAAAAAATAGCCAGATGTTGTGGTGGGTGCCTATAGTCCCAGCTACTCAGAAGGCTGAGGCAAGAGAATTGCCTAAGCCCAAGAACTGGAGGTTGTTGTGAGCTATGACACCACAGCACTCTACTGAGGGCAATGAAGTGAGACTCTGTCTCTTAAAAAAAAAATCTGGGTAATAATATTCTATCTGCTCTGAATTACCCATTGTTAATATCTTGTTGTAAATCTCTCACAAAATATTTTTCCTTAAAATAGTTCTCTATGTTATAAAAGTAGAAACCGGCTCGGCGCCTATAGCTCAACCGGCTAAGGCACTAGCCAGGTACACCTAAGGTGGTGGGTTAGAATCCCCAGCCCGGACCCGCCAAACAACAATGATGGCTGCAACCAAAAAATAGCCGGGCGTTGTGGCGGGCGCCTGTGGTCCCAGCTACTTGGGAGGTGGAGGCAGGAGACTCGCTTGAGCCCAGGAGTTGGAGGTTGCTGTGAGCTGTAATGCCACGGCACTCTACCCAGGGGGACAGCTTGAGGCTCTGTCTCAAAAAAAAAAAAAAAAAAAAGTAGAAACCATCTAAGCCACAAACTCTATGCTAAGAGATTTATCTAGGTTTTATCTCCTTATCCTCAAAGCATCTGTGACATAGTTAATATTGTTTTGTAATCTCAAAGTACAGATGAGTAAACTGAGGCTCAGAAAAGAGATGAAATATCTTGTCCAAAGTCATGTGACTAGCAGTGGAGCCAAGACTCAAAAGCACACAGTTCAACTTTATTGTGCAGTCTGTGATTTTTTCCCCCTAACTACATCATAATGAATAATGACTACAGGAGCCCTTTACCTACTGGTCTTCTATATTCACATGAAGAATAAAAAGAAATAAGTCAAGTGGACTCATTCCTTGGAGTAGACTAGAAAGAAATAGGGCTTAGACTGAATGGAAAAGCGGTGAGGGCTAGGCGCCTGTAGCTCAAGTGGCTAGGGTGCCAGCCACAGACACCAGAGCTGGCAGGTTCGAATCCAGCCCTGGCCCGCCAAAGAACAATGACAACTACAACCAAAAAATAGCCGGGCATTGTGGTGAGCTGGGCTGAGGCAAGAGAATTGCTTAAGCCCCAAGAGTTGGAGGTTACTGTGAGCTGTGATACCACGGCACTCTACCCAGGGTGACAGCTTGAGTCTCTGTCTCAAAAAAAAAAAAGAAAAGAAAAGAAAAGAAAAGAGGTGAGAACAGAGAACAAAAATGACCCAGGTCTCAGAATGAAATGAATGAGACCTGAAGTTCCCAGGAGTCCAGGCAATTAGGTGGGCTCCAGCGGGGGCTGGGTGGCTGACCTGTAACCTTAGACACAACAGACCTGCTCCCCTATCTAAGGCCTAACTACCCAAAAGTTTGCCATGATGGGTGAAGTCTCCATTATAGGGTCAGGGTGGGACTTTGAATGTGTGGAGTTTCAAGGTGAGCAAGGCTTTAAGTCCCAGAGGCACCACACCCAGGGATTTTCTTTTTCCCAGTTTAAAACCCTGGGACCCCCCGATTCTGCTGGGTCATCCTCATCCCAACCTATTAAGAGCCTTTCTCCCCCTTAGTTTCCCTGCCCCATAGGAGCTGTACCCCCTTCCTTGTCAGGCTGGGATGAGGGCCTGGAAGCTCTATCAGTACTCACTGGAAATCACTGTAGATGTCCACCCAGCCATCCTGGGTGATGCAGATGAAGAGAGTATACAGGGCAACCTGCATGTTCTGGAAATGCTTGGGCACGAATGCACCAAAAAGTGTAACCCCAAACACAGAGAACACCTGCCAAAGAGATTAAAGCCCCACCCTGGCTTCACCCAAGGGCCTTGGAGACAGGACATGAAAATAGATGCAAACGAGTGCTGCCCAGGGAATCACAGGGATTCAAGCCCACGGCCTCTCCTCTCCTCCACCCTCTATTCCCAACAACCCAGGAGCCCTTTTCAGGGAAGGTGAGCAAGGAGAGGGGCGGGCACTGACCAGCATGAAGAAGAGGATGAGAGCCATAATGTTGGCCATGTCAGGCACCGACTGCAGGATGACACGAATGATCCGGGCCAAGGGCTCCACCGCCATGCACACGTGTATCAGACGTAACGCCCTGTGGCAGAGCCTCTTAGGGGCACCCCTCAGACCTTCCCAGACCCCTCCTCCTCACTACCATCCACCAACTGCCTAGAGAGGCAGAGCTGATTTGCAGCTGGTGACTACCCCCTACGTTCATTCCTGGGTTCCAGACAGGTCCCCTCTTTTCTCCAGAGTTCCCAGCTCACCTGAGGGTGTAGTTGATAGAGATGACACTGAGTTCATTAACGAAGAACCCCATGAGCAACATAAAGACGATAGCGAAGTTGAGGATGTTCCAACCGTCCTGGGGGTGGGCCAGCCCCAGTGGGGTCTGTCAGGCCCAGCCCATGGGGGCATCCTGAGTCTGCCCTCCCTGCACCCCAAGGATGGGGAGGATTCAATGTTCCTCTTAGAGCAGGACCAGTGAGCTACCACCCACTGCTGTTACCTTGCTGTTCCCCAAACATGCCACAAAACATATGTTGTATGCACTGTTCCATGCATGCATTAGTAGTCAAGTACAATCTCAGAGACACGCAGGAAGACCCTTGTGTATACATGGCTAGTGCCTAAGCTGAACACCCACCTGGGCTAGTGGGAGTGCTGAAGATGGCCTTGCCCTACAGTTAGGTGACTTGAAAACATTTGCCTGCCCTTACCTTTGTGTGAGGTATACCATAATTAATAATAAAGTGAAAATAAATACTAATAAAAACATCAAGTAATATAGCTACTGAGGTGAAATAGCTCTCAGGGTACAAGAAAAGGAGACAGGCAAATATTGCAAGATTTTTGTCCAATAAGGCATTTATTCCTACAGGAATGGGAATAGGGGCAGAAACCTTGCACGTGTGAAAATGTTGACCAATGATACCACTAGCAGATACTCTGGTAGAGGTACAAAATGGCTTTTGGATAAGGTTGGAAATGACCAAAGTGTCCAGCAATGGGAGACTGGATGGATAAACTATGGCACATTCATTCATTGGAGTCCTGTGTAGCCAGAAAATGAAAAATGAGAAAGAGATCCATGTACTGATACAGAAAGATTGTTGGGATCTATTAAGTGACAGAAAGCAAAGTACAGAACAGTGTTTATAGTGTTAGGCCTAGACTAAGATGGAAAAATACCAGTTAACTCCTGACAAATTTCTGGGCCACAAGCCCTCAAAATGCAGTAAGTCTCATTTACTACCAAGATAGATGGGAAAGTACTCACTGACTTCTTGCTTAACTAACTCCCTGAGAAACAGACTGGGAGGTTCCAACTGTCCCCAGACTGACCTTTAAGAAATACCAGGTAAAGTACTGAAACGAAGATGTATGACTAACCACAAAATTCTGCTTCTGTACAATGCTTACTAACCTACATGGATGCACCTGAGCAGCCTGTGTGCCAACCAGGATGCAGATGAAGCCTTAAAAACCCGACCCCTTGGCTCGGCGCCTGTGGCTCAAG